TAATAGCCTTGGGTATTTTTCAAAATTTTGGTGTTTTTTTAAAATGGCCGTAACTTGAAAAATTGAAGTCGGAATCAGCTCAAACTTTCTATACAGGATAAGGACATTAATATGTATCAGAAAATGTAATAAAAATTTGGGGTGATTTCAGAGCCATTTTTTTGAAAAACCATGGGCTATAGCTCATGAAAATCATTATTATTTTTATTGCTCATTGCACTTAAGTCAGAATCACTACAAATTTTTAATTAAGGACAATGATTTGTCCTTGTTGTTAGTATTGTTGGCAGTCAAAGTAGAATGTTGGCTGTTAACTGCCTATTTTGACTTTGTATAATAAACTATATTAATATAAAATTGTAAATCTACTATTATTACTACTGTTCCTTTTGTAGGAATCCTGATACTCATGATCGTCCAAGTTTCTCAGATATATCATCAAGTCTATCCTCACCTGATAAACAATTACTAATGATTAATAAAGAGGATCCTGTTACTGTACTGGGTGGAGCTTTAGAAACAAGCCACTCCCTCTACAATGACTTACAGTACATGTACAAAAACTGATTGCATTTTTAACTTGTGATTTTAATTGATATTACCATGTGATTTGGTGTTTAATGTTAATTAAACAATGTTAATGTTAATAATTTTTTATGTTAATTTTTATTGTATACAGAATGAGCTTTTATGTGTATATTTATGATAGACAAACACATTCCATTGTACAATAATTATTGTAAAAATAAAGAGATTGATTATTTTTAAAATGTTTTGTTGCTTAAATCAGAATTTTAGATTTATAACAACATTTGACCTAAGTTATCACTTCACTGATAACTTTCTTTAAGCAGATATTAATTATGTAAAAATCAGAGAAATTGCAATTGCATTGTCAAACACTAACCTGTATTTTATTGTCCACACATAGATATGTGTGGACAAAGCAGACAGCAATTAAGACAGTAATTAAGTATGTAAGATTAAATATAATAGGTATACAGCTATTGATTTGTGCAATAGTTATTAATATAGTAATAATAATCTCTACCTGGGTATAGTTGAATTAGCACTGCCACTACACATAGATGGTAGAGTAACAGGAAAAATTAACTTCCTTTACTCTACTGTTTATGCATTACAAACTAAGCAAAACTAATAACATTTACTGTTTTTTTTTGTTAGCAATATTTTTGCTGCCAAAGATGAAGATTGTGTCTTCCTATCTTCTATTAGTAATACTGGTGTGCTTCATGAGTAATAGAATATTACTGGAGGTTAATGGAGAGTCTTGTACTGAAGGATTTATGGATTATAGTCTTCTTCAGGCTAGAGCAGCATCTCCATCAGGTTCCTTAGTTTTTAACAGACTAGCTGAAACCAATGCAACAAGATGGATCATCATTGAGGACTCTATGGGGAATGATGTCATTTTTACGTGTACTACAGTTATAACAGAAATATTGATTGGAGTTGATATAAGGACAGTTCATAATATTGGTACTGGTAGAAATTTATATCCAAGATTTGAAGTATGGAGGCCAGCTAATAACATGAATACTGTGTACACTAGTACTGTACACTTACTCTCCCTACTCCATTAAATGTCTCCAGTGGATACAGGATTGGTGTATATCAACCTCCTGATGACAGAAGTGTTGTTAGATTTCATTATATGAACATTTCTACTAATATTGATGGAATAGGAAAAATACAACCACTTAAGATTAATGATACTAACATTAGAATATCAGCAAGTAGAGATGTTGATTACGAATCATGGACTATACTAATACATCCAATAGTACAGGATACAGGTAGTATAAACAACAACAATAATAATAATAAACAGTCTTGAATGTTTGTTTTTATTGTAGATTGCTACTCACAACTCATGGCACCTGATAACATAACACTAAGTTCATCTATTACTGATGTATTATTCATTTCTGATGTTATAGCAGTTTTTCCTGATATAAGGTTAACATGTCATGGTATCATTACTAACTGGATAATTGTAGCTAATTCACTAGTTACAGCTACAGTTAAGATAAGACATGCAAATAATCTCACTACTACTGCTCTATCAGTGAACATTAGTAATGCTATTCCAATAAGCTCATTGCTATATAACTTTACAATGAGTGATGAGATAACAGTACAACCTGGTGATATACTGATGATTGAAAGTAATACTACAAACTACATGTCCTATCAGAGATATAATGGACCATACAATTACAGAC